CTGGACAGGGAAAATGTGACACATAAACACCATGGAATACTATGCAGCCATAAAAAATGATGAGTTTGTTTCCTTTTTAGGGACATGGATAAACCTGGAAACCATCATTGTCAGCAAACTGACATAAGAACAGAAAGTCAAACACTGCATGTTCTCACTCATAGGCTAGTGTTGAACAATAAGAACACATGGACACAGGGAGGGGAGCATCACACACTAGGGTCTGTTGGGGTAACTAGGGGAGGGACAGCAGGGGTTAGGTAGTTGGGGAGGGATAACATGGGGAGAAGTGCCAGATATAGGGGATGGGGATAAAGGCAGCAAACCACATTGCCATATATGTACCTTTGCAACAATCCTGTATGCTCTTCACATGTACCCCAGAACCTAAATTGAAAGAAAATATATATATGTATTTTAAAATGTCTTCTAGGCCAAATAGTGCCTTAACTTTAACCTGTACTCTTTGTAGGTACTTAATTTAAAGTGGAAATGTACTTGGAAGAGGTAACACACTGCATTACTTATTTGTTGTAATTTTTGTATATTTTTTATACATTAGAAAATGAATTCATTTATTAAATCGGTCCTTCAGAGGAATTGGGTAGTGAACATAGAGAAATAGCGCCAACAGGAGAGCTTAAATATTCATCTTTCTTCTGTGCATCCAGATACCACTGTGGTTAAGGAGCAGACTCTTAGAGAGTACGCGGTGCTAAGGTTAAAGCCTGTTTTTCTGTTTCGCTGGCTGTATGGCACTGGGGAAATCACGGATTCTCCCTGTCTCAATTCCTTTATCTGTAAAATAGGGATAATAATGGTACATACCTGATAGAATTATTGTAGGAATCAAAGAAGATGGCATATATAAAATACTGTGTTGATTCTCAGTACACAACAAGTGTTCAGTAAGGGCTACAGAATAACAACAGGAGAGGAGGAATGAAAGGTGATGGTGATGACAACAGTGACTTTGGATTCTGATGACGTGAGTGGCGATCATGGCTCTATTGCTTACCAGCCATGAGATAGTCACTTTAATTTAGTCTCCTACTGCACATCTGCCCAAACCTCTTAAGGCTTTTGTGAGAACTGAATGACAGGTGCCTGGCACATAGTAAGCACTCCAGATAGGTAGGTCTGACCTAAGGAGCTGCAGAGACACGCACTCTTCTCTGGAAAGGACTGGCCTTTTCCTGTGTCTTAATGGCTCCCTAGGCCTTTTGCTGGATAGCGAGACTTTCATCAAAGGGCAGTGCCTTAGATAAAAGGCTGGGTCAAAAAGAAGTGGCCGGCTAGGCAACCTTCATCCATAAGCTAAGAAAAATTATAGGATGGTGAGAGGACATTACCCCATCTCACAAGGGAATCAGAAACTGCTGAACAAGGTTAAAATAAGAAGCCTGGGCCACACCTATAATCCCAGCACTGTGGAAGGTTGAGGCAGGAGGATCACTTGAACTCAAGAGTTTGAGACCAGCCTAGGCAACATAGCAAGACCCACATCTCTACAAAATATATCTATATACGTACATATATATTTATATATGTACGTATATAGATATATAATCTTATTTTATACAATTAGTTGGGTCTGGTGGTACACACTTGTAGTCCCAGCTACTCAGGAAGCTGAGGTGGGAAGACTGTTTGAACCTGGGAAGTCAAGGCCGCTGTGAGCTGTGATCACACCACTGCACTCCAGCCTGAGTAACAGAGTGAGACCCTGTCTCAAAAATATTAATAAATAAATAAGAGCCCTGACAGGTTTGTAAGGCTGGGCACTTCTCTGTGTCTTGGGCTGGCTCAACAGCTGCCCTGGAGGGAAATACAGCAAATCCTTAAAAACAAGCAGGGCCTCAGTGGTTGTCTTTGCAGCCAGCAGGACCCATGTGCCCCTCTCCACAGCCCCTCCTCCTCCAGCTGAAGGAAGGAGCCCAGGGGACACGTAGCTAGAAAGAGCAGGGTCACCTCTTCATGAAAAGAGGAAGACAGAGGACCAAAATCACAAAAGAGGAAGACAGAGGACCAAAGTCACATGCTTGGCAGGAAAGAACACAGAACCAGGAAGGGACATTACAGGAGGAGGTGCTAAGAAGCCCCAACAGAGGAACAAGAGCCAAACTTCATTGCTGGGGCCTGGGGGGTGTGATTAAACCGGCAGCAGGGTCTCCGAGGCATTGCAGAGGGATCGTTAGTGCTCAGACCCCACTGCTGTTTATATCTGAAATGAGTTTGGATTTAGAGACCCAGCGCTGATACCAGCAGAGTGGGGCAAAAAGAAAAAAATTAAAAATAAAAAAAGAGACCCAGCACTGAGCTGAGTGGTGTGGATCAGAAGTGTAAGTCGTGAAGCTTACGACTTAATCAGGGGCATGAACACAGCTGACAAATTATAGTGTGATTTGTCATTATCTCAGAGCTTGGCAAGTGTTTGTCCCTGAAAGAATCAATACCTGGAGGGAAAAGGGCCATATTTTTAGAAACTCTTGGATGGGTAATTTATTTCAAGGGAGTAGAGAGTTTATTTATGTTGGCACCCCCTCAGATCCAATGGACAGTATATTTACACGAAGCCAGAAAATGCTATCATTTCTTCGAATCAATTTGCCCCTTTAAACAGCTGTACCTTGTAGCTTTCAGTAATAAACTCACACCCCTTGCTAAAAGCTCTACTGAGAAAAACATTTCCAATCCCACCTTTAGCACTGCTGCCTTCTGTTGGGGTGGAATATTACATGTCTCAACACTTTTCCACAAAGATTCTGTTTTCTAAGGCACAATTAAGATGGGCAGGGCAGGTTATGTTAGCCCCATTCTACAAATGAAGAAACAGAGGCTCGTAAGTTGAAAGTAGTACTAGTCAATGTAGACGGGAGTCAGAAAGCAAGCTCTCCCACCTGTAGCTGTGTTTTGCCCCCATTGGACTAAAAGAGCTTGTACAACAGAAATGCCTTTAAAAAGTAAAGAATCAAGAACGTGTTTAAAATACTTAGGTCTGCAGTTGAACTTGGATTCAAATCCCAGCCCATGAGATTTAAATAGGTTTGAACATGGGCACAGATTTCCCATCTCTACAGAGAGACAAATTAAAGTTCCTGCTTCCGAGAATGATTGTAAGCTTGAAAATGAATAACATATATAAAATTTTCATTGCCGTGTCTGGCAGAAATAAGAATCCAGTAAATGCTATTTATTTTGTTCTATTAGCTACTATTTTCACAGCATTTTTATAATAATAGCAAAACAGATTAAAACACTGTACATATTCAGTAGTGAAATGATTAAAGGAAATATGGTCAGTTTTGTTCCTGGACCAAACTGAGGGTTGGGCTGTTATTTCTTGTGGCCCAATAATGAGATGCAGATGAGCTGGGGAGGAAGAGTTTTTATTTCTGTAACCGGTTTACAGGGAGGGAAATTATTGCCAGACCAACTCAAAATTACAGTTTTCCAGAGCTTATCTGCTTTCTGAGCTATATGTCTACCTGTAAGCATGCATTCATCAAAAGACATAAGTGATTAACTTCTTTTAATCTGTTACCAAAGTCTGAGTCCTAAAGACTTACGTCTGGAGCCTCAGTAAATTTACCTAATCTAAATGGGTCTAGGTACTATAGCAATTACCTTATCTTGTCTCCTGCTAAATCATAAGTGTTAAGGGAGTCTTTTAGACCCCAATAAACTTGTTTGTTTATTGGGAGGCCTGGGGAGTTTCTTCAGATCCCCAGTGAAACTTGTTTAATCCTGAAAATTCCTGTTTAGAATTGCTTTGTTATCTACTCACGCTTCAAGGCCCAGGAAAAGTCTAGGCAACCTTGCTGGGATCTTTATTACACACCAGCCTTTGTATAAGGACCCTGGCTCAGTCAGTTTTTAATGTTTAACCTGGCTACTCAGTGCTGGGACAGTTGTAATGGAGGCCTGCCACATATTATAGGGTAGGTTTCTGTGCATATTTAATAAAGATATAGAAAAATTTAATAACGTGAAAATGTTCAAGATCTATGAACACTGAATTTGATTGTTAAAATGTATAAATGCACATGTATATGCCTATACTAATATATGTGGATGTGGAGACACACACACACACACACACACACACACACGCATATATATATATATATATATATTTTTTTTTTTAACAGAATCTTGCTCTGCCACCCAGTCTGGAGTGCAGTGGTGCGATCTCAGCTCACTGCAGCCTCCACCTCCCGGGTTCAAGTAGTTCTCATGCCTCAGCCTCCTGAGTAGCTGAGATTATAGACAAGCACCACCATGCCTGGCTAATTTTTGTATTTTTAGTAGAAACAGGGTTTCGCCATGTTGGCCAGGCTGGTCTCAAACTTCTGACCTCAGGTGATCCGCCCACCTCAGCCTCCCAAAGTGCTGGGATTACAGGTGTGAGCCACCCTGCCTAGGTGATGAATATATATTTGTAAAACCCTGGACATATTACATGCACAAGCATTTTAGCTGTGGATCTCTCTACGTGGTAGGATTTGTAATGCCTTCTTTTTAATCATCTATTTCTGTGGTGTCCACTAGCCACTTGTAGCTATTTAAGTTTAAATTAATTAAAATCAAATTAAAATTTTTAAGAAAACAATTCCTTAGTCAAACTAGCAAACTTCAAGTGCTCAGTAGCCACACGTGATTAGTGGCTCATACTGTAGCACAATGCAGACTCAAAACAGTCCACCATCGCAGTAAGTTCTGTTAGATCTGAGCTACAGCCCCAGACCCAGGCAGGTCAGAGAAATGCAATCAGCGTAGTAACCTCCCTCTGTCCTGTATCAAACTTTTCATTGGCATTTGCTTTCTCTTCCTTAATGAGGACTTAATTCTTTTTTTCTGACACATTACAACTATCAAAGTGTGACAAAGCAGGGATTACCTTATTTGCAATGGTTCTAACAGTGATTAGCTCTCCCAGTGATCCTATTAAGACAAGATCCCTCTGAATTAATAACCTCACAGAGTCCTCTCTCTCACAGGAGGTACAATTCGAGCCAGAGCTTTTCCACAATACCATCGTGTGTGAGAAACCCAACAACCACCTCAACAAATTTAAGGGTTATATGTAAGTATCTCATGTTCCGTGCTGCTAGTAAGTATCTCCACTGCAGCTAGAAAATATATTTTATATTTCGGAGAAATGACCAAACAGATAAGCATCTTCATCCTGAGGAATTTTATTTTTTGTGTGTGTGATAAAGAAGGACTAGAGAAATTTAAATTGGGAAACTTTCTATTTTTGTTGTTGTTGTTGTTGTTGTTGAATGATAATTATCTTGCAGGGTTAAATTCACCAGTGTTTTATTAAAAAACAACACCAACAACAAAAACCTTTGTAACATAGCATCAAAATCAAGATTGTGCTCTGATTCAGGAAGGTGAATATGAATTAATTAAGATCATTTTTTAAGTGCCTGTATTGCGTTGTAAGTAAGAACAATAACTTTGGAATTTGGCAGATCTGGGTTTGAATAGGGGTTCTGCAAATTATAAGCTATGTGACCTTGGGTAAATTAATTCACCTCTCTGAGCCTGTTTCCACATTCAAAAAAATTGAATTCTAATATCAATATCAAAGGGTTTTTCTTTTCTAAGATTAAGTGACTTAGCATACACAAAACCCTTACCACAGCAACTAGTAGAGAGGAAACAATCAGTTAACAGTGGCTTCTGCTATTAGAATTATTGTTATTCTTATTCCTCAACTTTGGTTCAGCCTAAGAATTTTACTGTGATTCTGCTCCCATATCAGACCACTAGTCTCACAAAATAAAGAGCCATAGTAACAGATGTGAGTAAATGCCCTTATACAGTGCTTTTCTACGGGAGTGTCCAATCTTTTGGCTTCCCTGGGCCACACTGGAAGAATTGTCTTGGGCCACGCATAAAAAACACTTAACCCTAACAATAGCCAATGAGGGGAAAAAAAAAAAAAAAAAAAAAAAAAAAAAAAAAAAAAAACCTCATAATATCTTAAGAAAGTTTATGAATTTGTGTGGGGCCATGTTCAAGCCACCCTGGGCCGCATGTGGGCCGTGGGTCGGACAAGCTTGCTTTGACAGCTTTTAGAGGACTCCCAGAGAGCATTATCTCACATAATCTTCACAACAACCCCAGAGCACGAATATCATGACTTGGATTGTGATTATCTGAGACTTTATACATTTAAAGGATCTCCCAAAGTCACACAGCAGGTATAAGACAAAGCCAGGACTCATATGGGGGTCTTTTGACTCCAACCCCTGTGTGCTTTCCATAGCCATCCATTGAGGAGCTCAGCCATGTTACACCAACTTCTCCACCTGTAGGGCTTGGAATGAGGCTTAGCAGCTCCCTGAAATGCAGCTGTCTTTGCTTTCCTCTGCCCACATGTCCTCAGGTCATGTGGGATATCATGAGGAGAAATAGAAAGGAGAAACAATAAGAACAATACCAGAGAAACTGTAGCTTTTATAGGCAAATTACTTCTAAAATGCAGAGTGAGCAGAAGGAGACAGGCAGAGAAGGGCCTGGGGTTGTCAGAAAAGGACTTTGCAGCAGAGGAGAGGTAAAGCCTGTCACCTGCTCTGAAGAGAAAGGCGTCCCTTGTGCCTTAGGTTTTTTAACTTGATTGATCCCAAATCACTCATGCCTTGAGTCACTCTCCATATCCTCTTAGAGAACAGCCTTATTGCTAGGCTTCTGTTTAGGATCTTTCTCCCCCGAACAGCTCAGGCCAAGAGCCAGGCTTTCTCAGCTTTCAACCTGGGCTCGACCTGCCCCTCTCAGACAGATTCCAGGATAGAACTCTCCCAGCGTCATTCAACCCCAGCACCTCCTCTTCCTGGTTGCTGCTCTGGGAGACCTGTCCTTCCTCCACCTGCCTGGGACTCACGGGTGAGTCCGAAAGTCCAGTTGGGCAATTGAGTAGCTAACCCATGGAATGAAAGAGAATTCCTTGCTGCACTCCCGCATCCTTGCTGCACTTAGCAAAGAGAACACCCTCAGGCCTGGCACCCACAGATTGTCTGCACCTTCTTCCTGAGCAAACCCACTGGTTTCCCAGAAGCTCCTGTGAGCCTCATTAATTTAGAAGCTCCCTGAGGCCACATAGGCTGGCTAGAAGATGAATAGCTTTTAATGATCTGTTTGAAGGTTAGAGGTGTCAGATTTGAAAATGTGACTTTTGAACAAAAGAATCTCTCCAGAGCAGTGGTTCTCCACCAGGGCAGTCCCCACTGCCACCACCGCCACTACCATCACCACTCCAACCAGGGGACATTTGACAATGTCTGAAATCATTTTTCTTGCCACAACTGGGGAAAAGTGCTGTTGGCATCGAGTGGGTAGAGGCTAGGGATGCTACAGTACACAGCAGCAGCATGCCCAACCCTAGCATAGAATTGTGTAGTCCAAAATTTTAATAGCACCAAGGTTGAGAAATGCTAGTCTAGAAAAAATACAATAGAGCATCCTTGTAAACCAAGAGTGCTAATAGACAGCAGCTATAAGACAGCAAATCCTTTTCTACCATTCTTTGAAAAAGGAACATTATGACTAAGAGAAGTAGCAGCCTCTCTCATATGCTATCACTTGAGAACATTCGAAAATCATTCTTGAAACTGCAAGTTACTGACAGTGAGGCAAGCAAGATTCATTAGCCCAATATTAACTCCACAGCCAGCCTCCTCCTTAATATACAGAGGGAACAATGGCGGGTCCTGAACCTCAGTCATTCTTAGACCACCTTTATGATTTTTATCATATTCAGTAAAATCTATTTTATCTACCAGATTTTTAATTATCTTTTTCTAAAATTTATTTGAAAAGGAAAATTTATATCACTGGGCCCTATGGGAAACCAGGATCGCTTGCTATATTTAAAAAGGTAAAAATTAATACAATGAAATCAAAACAGTTATATTGTAACTACAAATTATTATTTGCTATAGCATTTTTTGCATTAAAAAGTAGGATAGACAAACATTAGAATTGGGTCAAGACTATACCAGCATGAAATGAAACATCTTCCTTGACATATTCAGCAGAATTGAAAATAGAAATGACTCTCTGATTTAGTGTGAGTGAGTGCGGTAGCACTTTAGGTATCCTAATGTAGTGAAAATCTCAATAGGGTAGGTGTCTGGGACCTAGATTCCCTGGTCTTAGGATGTCCCATGTACTAAGTGTATAGCCTTGGAAAAATCTCTGCCACTCTGAGCTTCCATTTTTTTCTTAAGGAAAAATAATTACCCTGCTGACTTCCCAGACCCACAAAGAGCCAAACAAAATTATGTAAGTAAATGTAGTTTGTAAACACAGTGAGGAATCATTAGCATTAAAAGGAATATCGAGTGACAATATAGCACTCTGAGGCCAGACTAGTTTTGATTCCTCATTTTGCCATTTCCTGGCTTTATGAACTTGCCTCAGTTTTCCTGTCTATAAAGTGGGTATGATAATATGCCCTATCTTACAAGGTTGTCATGAGGCTTGAGTGGAAAAGGTTTATAACTGGACTTAGAGATAAGAAGTATTAAATAATTATAAGTTTAGAAAAAAAGCTCTAAGAGTTCAGATTATTATTTTTCTGTTTGCCCCAATGTTTTTGGAAATTATATTTAAGCTTACTGAAAATCTCAAAGGCATGGCATCAGGACAGAGTAAATAAAGGCCAGGCCCCAGGTAATAACTAGAGTGGGGGATTGGATTCATAAGTTTCTAGTGTGAGGTGGAAAACTGCAATGCTCCCTGAGGCTAGAAGAAGGAAGAAACTATCTCTATGTTTAGGATCTGCCTCCCAATAAATTGGGCAAAGGGCCACTCCTGTGAGGCCTATTTTATAAGCTATTGAGCAAGTAAAAGCTGTTACAGGAGAGAGGCCAAGTGAGTGATGTGGCTCAGAACAAGAGACACCCACAACCTGCCCTTCCTTTCTTTACCATTCTTACCTGTCCCATGGTATGAAAAGCAAGACTACCTGGAAGATCCTACAGACTTGGAAGTGCAGCTGGTGCAACTCTGGTCCCCAGAAGCTGAGTGACAGTGAGCATGTGAACACTGCCAGTCCTCCTAAGGCCAGAAGCCAATTTCCCTGCACTTTACCCCAAAACAATTTTGTTTGTTTGTTTGCTTTTTAAAGTTTATTAAGAAAGTAAAGGAATAAAAGAATGTTACTCCATAGCAGAGCAGCCCCAAGGGCTGCTGGTTGCCCATTTTTATGGGTATTTCTTGATTATATGCTAAACAAGGAATGGATGATTCATTAGTTTCCTGGTAAAGGCATGGGCAATTCCCAGAGCTGAGGGTTTCTTTCCTTTTTAAACTATATAGGGTAACTTCCTGACATTGTCATGGCATCTGTAAACTGTCATAGCTTTGGTGGGAGTGTAGCAGTGAGGACAAGCAGAGGTCACTCTCATCACCATCTTGGTTTTGGTGGGTTTTGGCCGGCTTCTTTACTGCAACCTGTCTAAAAACATTTTGAATGTGAGAATTGAAGCCAAGGCTTTTTCAGCAGAGTTCTGCATTTTATGTTGGTAAATGGCAATTTTTTCAGGGTGGACAATTCCCTTCTGATGGTCTAGCTCCCACCCAGGCCTCCTAGGAGCAGTGAAGAGATCGGCCCTTGAGCATGAAGGAGATTAGATTCTGAGCTACCATCATTCTTCTGAAAAACAGAAGAAGGATCATGTTCACTTACCACTTCTAGTTCTGTGACACTACCCAGTGGCAGAACGGAGAGGCCACCCAACCACCTCCTGTCTTTTCTTCATCGTCTCCAGGGAGCATCCTGACAAGACCAGGACTGGATTTGGCTGTGAGAGTCTTCTGCTTCGAGGCTGCACCATCAGAAACACCGAGGTGGCTGTTGGCATTGTCATCTATGCAGGTCATTGTCTCTGGGTAGTTTCCTTTGTCTGAATTTTCCTTTATCCTTCCTCCTCCATCCTCTCCTTCAAATCCATCGTCAGTCAGTGGGAACTGACAACAGTTCATAGTAACTTCCCATTTCTCAGCTAAGCAAATAGAGGCTGGGAATCACAGCAGTTCACTCAGTCTGCAGGAGACATAATGAGATTCCAGCTTAATATCACTCATCTGCACAAGACAGGGAAAGGGATTCACACTCAATCATCCCAATGGTTTTGTGCTACTAACTAAAGCCAGAATGAAGTGTATCTTCTTGAGCCTGTGGAATAACCTCACCAAACCTAACGACTTCCCCTTTGGAGCCTCAATTTCCTCATTTGTACAGTGGGGAGAATATTTGTATCTGCCTCATAGAGTGTTTGTAAGGATCAAATTACTCAGCACATGAAAAGCATCCAGCATAGCCTGTAGCAAAGTGAGAGCTCAGTGGGTTTTAGTTGTTTTGTAGTTACATTTTTACGATTATCTTTATTTATTTTTATGGCTCCAGATATGGAGGTCTATCTCTCCTTCCTACTTTGATTCTGCTTTCCAATGAAAAAAGGTAATGTAGCTCTTCTCACAGTGAAATCTGAAGTCTTGGAGGACAGTCTTGGGACTGCTGTATCTCTAGTTCTTATCGCCAGTGCGCCTATGCCATTCAGTGCACCTGCTGTTACATGAACCTAAAGACTTCTGCCACAACAGAGGAAACGCGGTCTCTGTGGAGTGTCTTCCTTTGCTGGAAAACTCCAGAATGTGTTTCCTTCTGAGTCTTCCATTCACTGGGACACTTTGGAATAGTTTGTTTATTTGCTTTTTTGTTTGGTTTGTTTTGTTCTCCATAGAACCCCACTTCTGATGGACATAGAAGAGCATTTTAATATCCATCAACCATAAGATTTACTCTTCGGGACTGTCAAGGAGAAACAGGTCTTTTTAAAAATAATGTCACAGTCTTGCTAGGTTTCCCTAATTTACGAGAGGGGGGTTATATTTGTCAGTTTAAATGACTTATTTCAAAGGTCTTTAGCAATGGAGTTCAACACCATCTGGTAAACCTATTGAAAATGAACACTCCAGCAATCTCCACTCTACTAAAAAAGAAAATAGTACTAATAGCCACATAGGTTTGAGCTTTGCTTCTCTGCCTGAATAGAAATAAGGAAGAAACATAAGTAGGTGATGGGAGTGGTATATAAGGTGGCAGATGTGGAGTGTTAACCATGGCTCCGGCTAGTCAGGCCGCCTTGGGGTAAAATCCATTCATGTTCTGCATATTCCTGAACAAGATGGGTGAACTTTCAATGCAAGAGGGACTAATAGTTCCTATTTTGTAGCTTTATAAGGCTCAAATGAGGTTATCTGTGTAAAGGGCCTAATACAACAGTTGGAATACATCAGGTCCTCCAAAATATGAGAAAAGATACCAGTTATTATCTAGAGCTGAGGGTCTCATCTTTGGCACCATTGACATTTTGGTCCATACTATTCTTTGTGAAGGGGGCTGCCCTGTAGGGTATTTAGCAGCATCTCTTTCCTCTACCCAGAAGATGCATTAGCACCCCTCACCAAGTCAGACAACCCCAGATTTCTCAAGCTGTTGCCAAATGTCCTCTGGGGAGTAAAATCACTCCTGGTTGAGAGCAATGGTCCAGAATTCTCATTTCTTCCTTGACATTGTCAGTAAACAAAATAGGGCTTCAGAGTCAAAGGCCCAAAAAGGCCAAGGTGAGATTTACAAAAGAAATAGGTCCAATGTAGAAGTATATGCTCCTCACAGCAAATATTGAGTACCAGAAACTGATTTAGTACTTTGCGTATATTGATTTATTTTTCCACTTCATACACCACAGTCATCTCCCATTTTTCAGATGAGTAATTGAAGTACAAAGAGACTCACTCACCCAAGTTCACATGTCTACTGAGTTGAACTCTCTGTAACCCAAGGTCAGGTATCCGCAGAGCTGACCTCTGTCTGACTCTAGAGTCCACACTCTTATCCACTGTCCCATACTGTCCCCCCTTGAACCCAACTCTTTCCAAAAGAGTGGAGGGGTCTCAGAAGGCAAGGACCAGGTGGGCGAAGGGGATAGTCCCAGGATCCCTGAATGGAGTGACCTTGAGAGGCAGGCAGAGAGACTACAGGCCCAGGAGTGCTGCTGGAACACCCCCCCCAATTACACACACGCACACACACACACATACACACATACACACACACACACACACACACACACACACATATACAACTACAGCAACTTGAGTCGAATTTTGGGAGCCTAGAGTTTGTTCACTCCTCCTGTTTCATTGCTACTTTAAAACCACAAGGCAACCACCTAAACAGCATTAAAGCCATTTGCTTTTGGAGCTGATGTACTGATTTTCTTTAATTTTGGACAGAAAATACGTGACTGGCATTTTTTTCACTTTGACTGCCGAGGAGTATGACACTGTAGCTAACATTCAGCAGCCCCAAAGCAGAGGCTCTGTCTAAAGACAAAGTCTGCATTTGACTCTCAGCTCTTAGGTGTGTGACCTTGGGTCCCAGGGGTTGGTGAAAGGAGAAATACACCGGCAATCTGAATCTTCGGTTTGCATTGTGACTCTGATGTTGACTTATTCTTTCACTTCGAGCAGATCTTTTTTACCCTCTAGCCCTCAGTTTCCCTTGTTGGGAAGGAAGGTGACCGGAAGAGATTGGTAGTTTTCAAACTTCGTCATTCTTTCTTTGACCAAAATTGTATGCAAAACTACAACATAGGAGTGGAGCTGCCCAGGGTTAGTGCTGAGGTGGGGGCGTTTGGTCCTTACTGCTCTTGCACAGGCAACACCAACAACTTAGGCATGACCAAAGATTCAAGCAGGGAAACTACTGGTCCTAGGCACTGTCTTACCACAGGGCTTTTACACCTACAGTTCCCCAGCCTCAAACACTGCAGCAAACTCCGCTCTCCCTTCAGGCCTTTCTTCAACGTCATCTCCTTGGAGAAGCTTTCCCTGAGCAGGCTTTCCAACACCATCTCTTATCCACCTTGGCCTTTGGTTTACTGTGTATTAATTATGTCACAGGACTTATTAATAATGATAATTATCCTTTCTGTCTTCTTGCATATCTTCACTAGAATGGGAATCCTATGTCTTGCCGTTGTATCCCACTGCTAGCCCGTAACAGGCAGAATAGAACCTTTGTGTAAATTAGAAAAAGGCAGTAAGCTTCCTTAAGACAGCTTACTATCATTTGCCAGAACTCTGTTCATAATAAATTTACAAATCTTTGGCAACTACAGAATGAGGACTACCCTCTGGAGTTGTGCAGGACACAGCCTGTGCATGGGAACTCTGTCAATGCCCACCGCAGTATCTGGCATGCATGTAGGGGATGCTCGCTGAGTACCTGCTGGTAAATTATGTGAGGCCTCTACAGCTGTTCTCAGCAACCTTCTGAGACAGGGAAAGTTCCGGTTAAAGAGTGAATCCTCAGGCCGGGTGCGGTGGCTCAAGCCTGTAATCCCAGCACTTTGGGAGGCTGAGGCGGGCGGATCACGAGGTCAGGAGATCGAGGCCATCTTGGCCAACATGGTGAAACTCCGTCTCTACTAAAAATACAAAAAATTAGCTGGGTATGGTGGCGTGTGCCTGTAGTCCCAGCTACTCGGGAGGCTGAGGCAGGAGAATTGCTTGAACCGGGAGGCGGAGGTTGCAGTGAGCCAAGATTGTGCCACTGCACTCCAGCCTGGTGCCTGGCAACAGAGTGAGACTCTGTCTCAAAAAAAAAAAAAAAAAAAAAAAAAGAGTGACTCCTCTCTTTTATCTTAAGCTCCTGTGAGAAGAGCTGAGGGAATGGTCTAAGACGTAGGCAGATGGGAGCTAAGGGACTGATTTCCTCATTTTCTCTCAAAGGCCATGAGACAAAAGCCATGCTGAACAACAGCGGTCCCCGGTACAAACGCAGCAAGATTGAGCGGCGCATAAACACAGACATCTTCTTCTGCATTGGGATCCTCATCCTCATGTGCCTTATTGGAGCTGTAGGTATGGGATGTTCTGGAAAGAACAAGAACACAGTAACCGATTTCTTTGGGCAAGTTTCCTCACTTGTAAAGTAGAGCTAAAAAAGTGTAAAGCCTACCCTGCCTACTTCAATGGGATGCCAATGAAATGAAAAGGCAAGAGAAAATCTCCTAAAAGTAGTATGTGCTCTTTAACTATTTTTAATATCATCTGATATTTATTTGCTCAAGATATATTTACTGAACACAGGCACTCTCATAGCATGGGAGGAAAACAAGATGAATCAGTCATAGGACTGGTCCTCAAAGAGCTCATAGTCTAGCAAGAAGGAGAACCAAATCAGTAATGCAATCTGTTCCACTCACACTGGGCTGCACACCGGGACTGTGTTTGTTTCCCATTGCCACTGCCAAACATGAACACACAGTGATTTAGAACGACACAAATGTATTATGCTACATCTCTGGAGATCAGAAGTTCAAATCAATTTCAGCAGGTTAAAGCAGGAGTCCCTAAAACCTGGGCCAATGAGCAGTACCTCCTGCCAGATCAGCGGTGGCATTAGATTCTCACGGGAGCGCAAACCCTATGGTGAACTGCTCATGTGAGAGATCTGGATTGCACGCTCCTTATGAGAACCTAATGCCTGATGATCTGTCACTGTCTCACATCACCCCTAGATGGGACCATCTAGTTGCAAGAAAAGAAGCTCAGGGTTACCACCTATTCCACTATGGTGAGTTGTATAATTATTTCACTATATATTACAATGTAATAATAGAAATAAAGTGCACTGTAAAGGTAATGCACTTGAATCCTGAAACCATCTCCCCCTCCCCACTAACTGTGGAAAAATTGTCTTCTACAAAACCAGTCACTGGTACCAAAAAGGTTGGGGACCACTGGGTTAAAGTCAACGTATCAGCAGTGCTGGTTCCTCCTGGAGGCTCTGAGGGAAGGATCTATTCCTTTTCTTTTTCAGTGTCTAGTGGCTGCCTGTAGTCTTTAGTTTGTGGTTCCTTCCTCCATCTTCAGAGTGCCCCACCCCAATCACTGCCTACATTTTCCTCTCCTCATCTGCAGCAGTAGTTCTCCCTGCCTTTTACGAGACACTTGTGATTACATCATTGGGCCCACCTTTATAATTCTTGAAGAGGTAGCTTCTAGAGCTGATTCTCAAGCAGAGTAGACATTTGCCAGAGGAGGAGGGTGGCAGAGCCAAGTGTAGGGGCTGGACAGGGCAGGCCACTGTGAGCAGAAAGAGAGAGACCACTCATAGCCACAGGAAAATCACAAGCAAAGCACAGAGGCAGAAAGGAAAATCATTTTGTGCAGAGGGGCAGTTGGCTGTTGGGTGTGGCAAGAGTAAGACCAAGAATGGAGACCTTAGCAGAGCCAGCCTATGGCCTGAGTTGAGTGAGAAGCACCATGAGAGGTGGAGACAGGAGTGATCTGGAGCCCTTTAAGTTGATCCTCAGAGTGTAGGTAAAGAGGGGCCTACACTCCCGCCCCGTCTATAGTCTTATTCTAAGAATGGTTCTTAGGATGCTATAGGAGATCCCAAAAAGATCCAGGGACAATCAAGAGAAAAACTCATATCCTGAGTCCAGAACCACAAAGACCCCAAACCAATGAGCAGCAGTGGTGTTTGCTGTTTCCTTGCCTTAGTCAGAAATGGTATCTGTTGCTGTTGTTAGAAACATAGTATCTGAAAAGCTGAGTGCTTCCTGGGGGCTCAGAGAGACTGTGTGGATAGATGGATAGATGGATGAATAGATGTGTGCCACTACAGTGATGATGATGGGATTGAGTCTTGTGGGTGGCCTGGAGTTCTCAGGTGTGTCTAATAGCACTTCACTTGAGGCTGGCTCACAGCTGTAAGGAGAGCACCTGGGGAGGGGAAGCAAGGAAACAAGCCATTGTCTCACTCCCACCCTCCCCCCAACCCATGTGGCCACCTCTGTGTCCCCAAGATGCTGCAGGAACTGCTGCTTTTGCTTCAGAACAGGGTTTTTTCAGGGCATAGCAGAGTGAAAAGGACATCTGAGATCATCTCACTGTGTCTCCAGAGAAAGAAAGTTAATGATTAAAAGGTCATAGGGCGAGATAAGGCACAGGCAAACCAGAATCTGCTTGGCAGATTCGCCAAAACAATAAAGAAATGAAGAAATATCATGGGGGAGGGTCAGAATTCTATTCTATCTGAGATAACAATTCATACACAGGACTGTGTTGGTGCCTAATTAAAGCACGGCCCTGTAGAAGATGAAATCTCTCAAATTAGCACTATTCCACAGTTCTTGACCACATGTTTACTTTGATTTTGTAAAAGTGGTGTCTCTTCTTTCCTCACCCAGTATACCCTGCCCTGGCCTTCCCGACCACCCAAACACCTGTGGGGGCTCCAGGACCCCCTCAAGTCCCCTCTTCCATGCAGGCTTCTCAGGCCTTTCCCATGCTCTTGTCTTACTCCCCTAAAGGCCAGTGGTGCTTACTCTGTGCCATGTGTTTGGTCCTTAGTCATCTGCTTTATAATACTAACTTCATATAAATAGCTTTGTGTCTGTAAGTTTCCTTTCTTCTGCTAGGTATGATGACATTTGGCCCAACCTCCTGGGCGAGGAAGCATCTTTTGGGATTGCAACATCCCCTATGCCTTTTATTCTCTATAATTCTTGGAACTGAGAGCATTTGAAACATGAGGTTATTCTAACAATAACTCTATAAGGAAGGTATTATTACTATTTAACAGACAAGGACACTGAGGTTTAGTGAGCTCTATAACAGGTGCTGGATGCACTTCACCTTACATAATCCTCAGATAATGGGTGTTGCTATCTCCTTTGCAGATAATGAAACAGAGTTCAGTACGTACCTGGTGCTGTTGCTATGGGCTCTCACAGCATTCCAGGCTCTGCTATTACACCTCTCATACCGTATGTGATTTGTCCTTTTATGTCTGGCTCCCTAATTTGGAAGAAAACTCCACAATGACAAGAACTAGTACTAACTTCTTGACTTCTTGAATTAATCAATGTTAGACAGAAAGATGAATGAGTAAACAGGGATGGATGGATGCATGGGTAAATGGGTAGGTGAGTGGGTGGATGGATATATAGATAGATAAATGGGTGAGTATATGGATGGATGGATGAACGGATAGAAAAATGGATGAATAGAAGGATGGATGGATGGATGGATGGATGGATGAATGGATGGATGGATGAGTAGATGGGTGGGTGGATGCAGGGATTAATGGATGGATAGATGGGTCAGTAGATGGGTAGATGGATGGATAGAAAAATGGAAGAACAGAAGGATGGATGGATAGATGGAAGGATGGAAGGATATATGGATAGATGAGTAGACGGGTAGATGGATGGATAAATGGATAGATGAATAGATAGAAAAATGGATGGAAGTATAGACGGGTGAGTAGATGGGTGGATGGATGGAAGGATTGATGGATGGATAGATGGGTAAGTAGATTGGTGAATGGGTGGATGAATGGATAGATGAATGGACAGAAAAATGGATGAATAGAAGGAGGCATAGATAGATGGAAGGATGGATGGATGGATAGACAGGTGAATAGATGGGTGGGTGGATGGATAAATGGATAGATGAATGGACAGAAAAATGGATGAATGGAAGGGTGGATGGATGGGTAGATGGGTGGGTGGATGGAGGGGTTGATGGATGGATGGATGGATGGATGGATAGATGAGTAGATGGGTGAATGGATGGATGAATGGATAGATGAATAAATAGAAAAATGGAAGGAAGGGAGGGAGGAAGAGAGGGAAGGAAGATGGATGGGTGTATAGAGATGGATAGATGGATGGATGGATAGATAGGTGGGTGAGTAGATGGGTGGGTAGATGGAGGGATTGATGGATAGATTAATGGATAGAAAAATGAATGAATGGAAGGATGGATAGGTAAATGGGTATTAGATGGGATAAGACGGGACTAGGGGAGAGGTCTCTCAAGGCACCCCACCCATTCAAAAAAGTGTGCACCACAGAACAAAAAAGAAAAAGTATTTCTTTCTCTCCTTCCAGCTCCTTTTTAACAAGACTTAATGAAAATATAAGTAATCTTCATACCAATTTCCTCTGTGAAATAAATTTAATGCCTATCAAGGGATTGAAATGCATATGAGGAACCACTTTAGAGCTAAATGAACACATACACATACACACACACGTATACACACACAGAGCTATGTTGTATGGAAAAAGGAGGGGTCCTCCAAAGCACACCCATTTCCAGGAATTTGTCAAGGGCTAGTGTAATTGACCAATTTTAGGACTTAGTGGAGATTCAGTCTTATTCCTGGTTTCGCCTCCTCTTAGGTCACAGCATCTGGAATGGGACCTTTGAAGAACACCCTCCCTTTGACGTGCCAGAGGCCAACGGCAGCTTCCTTCCCCGTGCCCTTGGGGGCTTCTACATGTTCCTCACAATGATTATCCTGCTCCAGGTAGAAAGCCCTCCCTAACTAGAGCCCCAATAAGATATGTAACCAAAACCCCTACAACTTTGTAAAATAAAGAAAAATCAGTGCCGGCCACAAGAAAGTACAAACTGGAAGGAGAATGAGGATGTGGTCATCATTTTCTTGTAGGTCTTTGAAAATATTCACATTTTGGGTGATTTAAGGACCTTGCACTCTAGATAACAACTGGAGGGAAATATTTATCAGGCTTTTCTATTTAAGAGTAAGATGACAGCAGTGACCCACATGTGTCTGTCCCTTTGTCAGAACATATAAAACGCTAATGACCTAGGAGTAAAAGAAGATAACACAGTGAGCTGCAGAAAACTCTCATGCCCCTAACATTGAGAGAGAGAAACCACAAGTTAGTGTTTAACATTTGATACATTGAGAAAAAAAAGAAGAACAGAACTGGCCTAATATAAGACAGGGGAAAAAAAATAGAGAGCACCTACAAAATGTGAGGCAGTAACTGATGAAGAGATGAATTTTAAAATCTTCATGGTCTCTAAGAAAATACAATCTATGAGAAGATGAGAGAAGTTGTAGTTTTAGTTTTGTGGAGCTCCATCTACCATTTCTTGTAGTATTGGAGGATGTTTCATTGCCCCCTTATTGGTGAACATTTTCCATTCATTCATCTATCGGAGTAATCTATTTTAAATGTGAATTAAATCATACCCCTCCTATATACAGAATCCTCTCATGGTTTCATAACCGCTCAAAGTGAAATCCAAAGTCCTCACGGTGGCTGATGAAGCCCTTAGTGATCTGGACCCTGACTCCCTCCCTCACCTCCTCTCCTAGCCCTCTCCCCACCTCACTCACCTGCAAGGACTGCTCCCTATTGCTCCCCAAACACCACCCCCACTGCCAGGCCTGTACCTGGCTTTCTCCTCTGCTCGAAACGCTCCTCCCCCAGATAACCTCACAACTCACACCCTGGCTTCCTCATGTCTCGGTTCAAAGGTCGTGGTTTACAAACATTCTACCCAGCCATCAATCTACCCCCTTTTCTTTTCTTTATTCTTCCTCATGCAACTTACCACCACTATATATTTATTTGTTTGTTCACTGTCACTGGAAGGTGAGTTCATCAAAGCCAGGAATTATGTTCTGTTGACTCATTTCCAGGACTTAGAACAGCATCAAATGCACAGCAAGCACTTGATACATGCCAAGTACTGAATCAGTGGGGAGAAATTAACAATAGGTCTGAATACCTATAAAAGTGGGCAGCAGCCCTTGGTGGCACAGAGATCTGACAGGAGTCAAGGGACTCTAAACAGAGATGCTAAATCTCCCTCACTCCCTCCCAGCTCAGTCACAGACAACCAACGGTGAGTGCCTACCTTGTACCATACATCCCTGGTCAAAGAAGACATATCCATTTTTCAGATTCCCCTAAGAATTCCAAGGGATGCATGAGGTCATTGACCGTTAATTTCACAGTCTGTCCTGTGAGCTGACCTCAGCTTTCCATTAAATGCCTTTGCTACCTGCTAGTGAGGATCCCAAGGGAGGAAACCTGCCTGGTTTCTGACATGGTAGAAACTCATATCTTTGCAGGTGCTGATCCCCATCTCTTTGTACGTCTCCATTGAGCTGGTGAAGCTCGGGCAAGTGTTCTTCTTGAACAATGACCTTGACCTGTATGATGAAGAGACTGATTTATCTATTCAGTGTCGAGCCCTCAACATCACGGAGGACTTGGGCCAGATCCAGTACATCTTCTCTGATAAGACGGGGACCCTGACAGAGAACAAGATGGTGTTTCGACGTTGCACCATCATGGGCAGCGAGTATTCTCACCAAGAAAATGGTACGAGAGCTCCCAAAGGCTCCATCCTTCTTTCTAAAAGGAAATACCCTGCTCTCCTAAGAAACGAGGGGATAGAAGACATTCTCCTGTCTCTCTTAGAGGCTGTGTGGCATTTCCACAAGTTTCTCCCTGTATCCCTGTGGTCTTCCTTGTCACAGATCAGGGCTGTTCCAATTACTTGTAAATTTTCATTTGTTCACAAAGGTTAGAAGTTATCCCATATGTGGTGCCCCTCCAGTTGATCTTTGTCTGGTGCTAGACAAAGCACTTGACAAGACAAGATTTTTTATCTGTCAGCAATGGATTGGAGACATTTCCCAATCATGTGCCAGTCATACAAGGATTGGGAATTTTTCAGGCCACCTTTCCTGACATCTCAGGGCAGGTCTGGGTCTAGGCACATGGTCAGATTTAACACATCCAGAAAATGCCTTCTATTACAACAGATCTCTTAGATTGGCACTGAGGCAAAGTTTTGATTTAGGAGATAGGGCTATAAAAGGCCTGGACTGTTACCTTTCATGGACTGAATATGACTCATAAAACTGACCTGATTCCTTCAGCCATGATCTCCCCAACTTTGCCTGCCTCCCCCACCCACACACACACTTTCTAAGAAAGGAGACTCCTAAGAGAGCAGCATTCATTCTTTTGAGTGGGAGGGATGGAGAAAGAGAAAGGTGGAGAGGATATTATAAGCAGCCTTACCCCCTTTCCCGTGGTGATTGCAGACTATTTACGTGGCAGCATCTGATCTCTTTGTAATAATAATAAGAGCTACATTACCAGTACTTAGAGCATGCTAGTCATTTTAACACATTATATCATTAAATCTTCAGAGCATCCCTGAGTTAAAAACTTTAAAAAAAAAAAAAAACCCTGAGGAAGTAAAGTGACGGGTTATGTCAAAGCTCAAAGTCACATGACTAGTAGGTAGTCCACTAAGGTTTGAATCTGTGGGACTGAGTTGTACCCTTCTTTCTCCAGTCTTGGCAGCCCAGATGCTAATTTTCCAGAGTAGCATAGGCCTTTTCCAAGCTCTTGCCCCACCCCAAATTCTAGTCTCTCCCCAACATGGTCCAGCAAAGGTACAACTAGTACAATAACAGGACTCCTTTCTTGCAGCTAAGCGACTGGAGACCCCAAAGGAGCTGGACTCGGATGGTGAAGAGTGGACCCAGTACCAATGCCTGTCCTTCCCAGCCAGATGGGCCCAGGATTCAACAACTATGAGAGGCCAAAAAGGTGCTCAGCCTTTGAAGAGGAGCCAGAGTGCCCGGGTGCCCATCCAGGGCCACTACCGGCAAAGGTCTATGGGGAACCGTGAAAGCTCACAGCCTCCTGTGGCCTTCAGCAGCTCCATAGTAAGTCCCTGAATTCCCCCTTTTAACAGCAAGTGTTCTGTGGGGAGAGATGGGAGAGGGCTTCGGAATGTGAAAAGAAAAGATTGTGCAAACCCTGAAGAGCTTTCAGAATGGTGCTCTTGATTTTGTATATAGTCCACATGTGTGTTTTGCTGGCATAGACAGTTCCTGTTCATTTGAAATGTTCAATGTTTAGAAATCAGGAGATTTTATGTAAGCATATAGATTTTTTGGCTTCTCTCTTAAAAATTGAATTATAAAAATTCTCCACACTAAGCCAACATTTCCTCATGGCAATTGACTTGAGTTGAGAGGTCCCTAACAGTTAGACTGGCCATGCCATCTTCAGCTCATCACAGCCCCTGCCCGCCTTCTCTATTTATCCCACCACTGAGGTAGGGGGCAACTGTATCATTTTAAAAACATGCATAATGGTTATGTTTTCTCCCTGTCATCCAGAACATGAGAGGGAGAAAAGAGACCCATTAGGCATGTTTGGATGAGGCGAAGAAAACATACTCATTAGGCGTGTATTTAAAATTATACACTTAGGAGAAATGAGAAATATTTGTTATGCTCATGTTTCCATAAGGGAGAAAAACAAAAGATACACCTGTAAGGCATATGTGTTTGAAAAAGAAAATGGGAGAATATACTTTTTGGTGATGATCAAAAATAAGTTTTAAATAGTTATGGAGCAAATAATATCTATGTCAAGATTACCCAGCCCATTTCTTTCCCTTAGGCTAACTGCCTAATTCCCTTTGGCCCTTATGGGCATTGCTTGTTTCTGGCTTTGGTCTGGGGCTTTCTGCATATGGTCCTTTTACATTTGATCCACTAGAACAGCCATCAGCAAACATCCAGGTAGCAAGTAAAGGAAACCATGTTCCCACCCTCAGAGACTACACAGCATTCCTTAGAAGTCAAGGCCAGACCAGGGCTTCTGGCTACTGTCCTATTCCTCTTTCCTTTGCACACACTCTTTCTCCAGGGAACATAAAACACATCATCTGGAACCTCTGCACTTACAGAAGAGGCCACAGGGAGCCCCAGCAATCTTGAACAAGACACACATATTAACAGATGGGACCTCGAGGGCTACTATCGCTTTGTTGGAAAATTAGATTATAAAAATCTTTTTGGCCAATTTTTTTCCAGTCTTTTATTTCCCCCATGAAAACACACACACACACACACACACACACACACACACACACACACACACAGAGACACACACACACAGAGAGACACACACGCAATAACTACATATATTTAACATTTCTTACAATCATGGGACCTATCAATTGTAGATGCTAGGATTTTTTTTAACCTAACATGATATCAAAATCATTTTCCATATTTCTACTTGGTATTCATAACCAACGACTGTGTTTTCTGACTGAGACAAACAAGAAACACTGTGAGCCTGTGTTCTGGGTCGTTACTCATCTAACTTTTGGTGAGTATAAAGTTGAGTTCCCTCTTTTGGGTTATTGTCATGCACAGAAATGCAACATTAGCGAGGATAAGACAGGAACAGTGTGTTAAGACATATGACCTTAATGAATACACAAGTGAAATGATCCATAGGTGTCTGCAGGGAGATTTTTGTATTTTTTTTCTCCTTTTTGATTTTCCCAAGAGAGATAACAACAAGGTGTGCATATTACTACATCCTTCTTAATTCTTCCCCCATGAATGTAATGCACTTCTCCAAGCTCTTTTCTTAAATATTCGTAAAATGACCTTAGTGAATTCTCATGAGACACAGATTCTATGCGTCTTTGGCACCTTCAAGCTCTAGGTACCACAGGTATCCCACGTGCCTGATTATGTCTCCTCCAAAATATGAGAGGGAGAAAAAGGAAGCTTTCCTTTGTGGATCTCAGTTGGGTCACATTAGTTTACTGGCCCCAGTTCAGCCTGACGAGTCTCAACAGCCCAGAAAAACTGCATTCCTGGACCAGCCAGTAAAACTTTGATGCAGGGCTTTTAGCCAATGGTCAGTGAGAGGGACACGTCAACCCCAGAGCTATCTCCAGATCCTGGATGTCATCATCCTGCCATGGCTGGCAGTCCCAAAGGCAAGTTCTAACTAAGTTCATTCAAGAGCAATAAGGAACTTGACGCATGGGTTAAGTCCCAATTCCTGTTGCCTGGGCAAGGGAAGATGGTGATATGTTCTTTATGAACAGCTAAGTATACTCATGCAATCAGGTCACTTGAAAATCTGAGGTTAATGGAACAATTGTATCTTTGAGTAGTTTTGAGGAAGAGCACTGGGCTAAGAGTTAGGTAATGGACATTCCCTCGGTTTTAGTTCTGCTACTGGCTTGCTAGGTAACCTTAAGCAACAAGTTAAACCTCCTTCTATGTCTCTTTCATCATCTGAAAATACTTATAATTCTCACCAAGCTGTTCTGGAGATCAAATAACATAATGTTTTGCTGACCTGCAAGATCATTCTGGCTATGAATTAGGCACATGTGGGGTCCAGTGTCTCAGGCTTTCATCTACGCTGCACCATGTCCTAGCTCTGCGATTTTTGTCAGCTTACTGAAATGGAAGCCTCAACTTACCCATTGTTAAAATGAGGATAATTGTTCTGGCTTGTGAGTTTATTTTGAGGATTTACTTGATTTATTTACTTATTTATTTATTTATTTATTGAGACATAGTTTTACTCGTGTTGCCCAGGCTGGAGTGCAGTGGTGTGATCTTGGCTCACTGCAACCTCCACCTCCCTGGTTCAAGCGATTCTCCTGTCTCAGCCTCCTGAGTAGTTTGGATTACAGGTGCTTGCCACTACACCTGGCTAATTTTTGGTATTTTTAGTAGATATGGGGTTTCACCATGTTGGCCAGGCTGGTCTTGAACTCCTGACCTCAGGTGATCCACCCGCCTCAGCCTCCCAAAGTGCTGGGATTACAGGCGTGAGTCACTGTGCCCAGCCTGAGGATTTCATTCTTAAAATTGTGTGTTCTAAGCAGACAGATACCTAATGGAAGTTTTAAATGATCTTTCTAAAGGAAAGCTGTCTGCCTTGAACAAATGTTCACATATCTGATGTCATGAAGAGAAAATGGGGAGTTTTCATAAAATACAGTTGTTGGAGTCTCTCCCCTGAGATCCTGGTGTATTTGGTCTAGGGTGAATCCTGAGCATTTATAGTTTAATTTCTGATGATTCTAGGGAGCAGCCAAGATGGGGACCCTCCATAAGCAGAACATCATCCTACGAGGAAAGAGTCTTCACTTGGCTCAAATTGGCACTTTCTACAGCTTGGGAGGCATTTGCTGAAGGGAGTGAAGTATACAGTCTTCAAGGACTCTTGTACTAACCCGTCAAATACCTCTGGCTGGTGTCAGATCCTTGAAGTTGTCCCTAGAGAGCTCCTGCAGCAGCTCCAAGTGGCTCTTTCGGTGCCCACCCCCACCCACTCCTGGCAGACTCTCTGCACTTGTCCCCTTCCACCTGCCTTCTGTGCCTTCCTGCACCTGCCCATCTGGCACCCAATCTGGTTTGATCATCTCTTGGAACCACCAGTTCCTTACATTCCCTTAGTGAACTCAATCAAAATTTGCCTCTGAAACCCCCAGGGAGCATTCTACCACCTTCTAAAGAAGCCAGTTGTTAGTTTCCTTAGCCCTTTGCTCTAAACCAAAAATAAAACAAGAATCGACAAAAACAGCAACAACAGAAGCTGAGTTTTTTTTTTTTTCTTTTACTATGAAAAAACAAGAAACCAGCAGTGATTGCCACCTAATTGCCTGCAATAAAATCTGTGGCTTTAAGATGAGGGTAATATGCTTATTAAAATGATGAGTTGAGTCCCAAGCCAATGTTTAATAGTACTGGCAGATGGAAAATGAAATGGCTTTTTTTTTCTTTCTTGTCTGTAAGCAGCCAAGATTTGAGCAGAGTCTTTGTTTAAAAACGCCACTTGCAAAATGTTTTTCAGCACCATCAGACCAAAGAATATCTTCCTAATCCTAAAATTTGTACTGAGGCCAGTTAGGTTCCTCCAGACTTCCCCACTGCTTTCCTCTGTGGACAATCCCCCCCCCACCCATCGGAAGAGAATGCAACAGAGAGGAGCGAAGGAGGTGTCATTGGACCCCTGCCTCCTTTCACTAATCTTGGTCTGCCTTTCTTTCTTTGGAAAAGATTTATGCAGCACTCCCAGTCTGCTCCAAATTGGTGGGACAGCCCACATACACACACTCCCACTGTAAGGTTAGATAAGAGTCCTGATTTAATTAGCCAAGTACACAGAATCTTTCTGGAAGTTATGTGATCACACAGGGCAGGAAGCAGTGAAGCCTATCTGTATTCCCCTTGTCCTCCAGTGTCCCAAATTGGGGTGGGGGGACCCAGCCACAGTGACACTGTTCACAAGAGGTAGAAACTGCCAAGATCTGGAAAATGCCCTTCTGTCTTCACCACTGAGATTTATTTCTTTGGGCTTATGCCCCATTTGGGAAAAGTTTACCCTAACAATTCATGTGTTCCTATTTAAGTGAGCATTTACTAACATTTGACTTCCCTAGTTCTTGATTCAAACCAAATGTCATCAAGGCCACAGCCTCAGACAGGACAAAAACATCACTGCCCTAAACACTGTTAGCCTCCAGCTCCCCAGCAACTAGGAAAATCTTTCCATAATAATCATAGCCCACAGGGTTACGTAATCAAAAGGAGCCAAAGGCTGATGGTGGAAAGTAAGTGTCCCTCTATCCTCTCTTCCCACCACCTCAGGCACAACCATGATTACCAGCTCCTATGTGTCCTTCCCAAAAGTGTACAGAAACATACAAGCATGGCATACACATGAGCACATCCTTCACTGCAAGTGGAAGCATACTGTACCCACTGTTTTGGACTGTGCTTCTTTCTTCAACCTAATGAATTTTAAAGAATATTTCCTATGTGTAGACAGACAGGTAGACATTCAATAGAAAGCTGCCTCATCTTTTTTTTTAATGACTGCTAGAATT